ACTTTGCAACAACAAAAACACCAGCAGCCTTTAGACAAGGGAGAGACCCCAGTGGTGTTGACCTGCAGACAAGAAAAGGTGAAGAGACAGTAGCGAATTATTACAACTGCGCGAGTGTCATACATTAAAATCACATACTGGGACACTATTAAGCAGATGTGTGGACACCTGGATATGTTGTGAAAATATAATTGCAAGCTCAGGTGCACAGTTTAATTACTTTTTAAAACACTGCAACACCTAGTATCAACAGGCAACTGATGTAAGGAATTTAAGCTGTTTCAAATTTGCTGAGAAACTTTATCAAACTTTATTTTTTAAACTTTATCAAACTACAACTGCAGCCTTAAGGACTGGTCGATAGTCCACCACAGTACATAGCTCAACAGTTACATTCAAACCAATATAAATGTAATTGTAATAATCAAAGTCTCCTACTATGACAGTATGTCTTTTTAACACTTAGGGTCATGTCTAGTTATCAGTCACTCACTGTTTCTCCTCATTTGGGGAATTTAGAAGGAAACAATGTCTCAAAGTGATTATATCATGAATGTGCAGACTTCAAAATTGTAGTTTTGTATTACTTTAAGGTTAAAATGATTGTATGAATCAATATGTCATGAAAGGGTTATTGTTCTCAGGCTGTGATAATGAGGTGTCGTCAGACTGTCATCAGACCTGCCACACTTTATTAAATACATTTAAAAAATAAAGCTACATCTTGATACACAGGTTGTCTGTCTTGAGTACTTCAGTAGAGTACCTGCACCATCTTGTGGAATAAAGGCAGTGATGACATAGCACGAGATCATTCCAATGAACACTAGGTGGCGCTTTTATAGAGGTTCCTTTACATTTAGAGCATAGACAGGTATCATTTCAAGGGATTTCCAAAACTGTGTCACCTGGGAAATTAGGGATTTAAACACACTGTGACTGATGGCTGTGCTTTGCCTCTGTCCTGCCAAAGACCTTCTTCTTCGCTTGTTCCTCAAACTGCGACAGTAAAAAAATCAATGAGCTATTTTTGTCCCACATTGTACACCCCCCACTATTGACTTTTTAAGACATTCAAATACGGCCTGAAGGGCAGTAAGGTGTGGGGGATATACATTTCACAAACCCAACAAGACTATTTAAGATGATACATCTTCAAGTTACAATTTGTTAATTAGATATTATTAATAAGCAGTATAATACTTATGTGCAATATACATATACACTCAGCACTGCGAGTATCTTGCAGGAATAAAATGAAAACGGGCATTCTTTGTACAACCTATGAGAAGCTTTAGGTCACTGGCAAAATGAAGTTTGCCAACATCAAATTCATGGCAATGCTCAAATCAACAGCCACAATGTTAGCATTATTGGAAACATATCTGGAATGCAGATTAAACTGTAAACAATAAAACACCATAAATATTATCATACATAGGCCTAGTATAAGTACAAGTGCAGTACATATTCAGTTGGATTATGGCCTCAGGCTGAGTGACAGTTTATATTTCTTGCCTTTTTTGTGGAGTTTGTTTGTGTTGTGTCTAGCAGATAATGAATCCTTCCCCAAAAGCCAAAGGTTACTCTAGATACGTTGCCCACATATCTAAGAGTGAATATGCATCAGTTTAAAAAAAGCGTTTGCTTTCATGTGTCCTTGCAGTCAAACAAGGACAGGGTCATATTGAAGTTAGATTTTTGTGATGCTAATGTGTGGCCTTACACATTATAAGACATTTTCCCAGAACATCACTGATTCTGATTTAAGATTGTTTTTTATTTTACTCAAGTAGGCTTTTCACCTTTACTTAATACACTATAGTAGGCTACAGCAACTAGAGGTACATATTCCTCCTGTGTAAACCTACTTTTAATAAAACCGATTCTGATTCTAAAGAGGTTTGGCCTTATCATTGATCAATCACTAGGGGGAGACAAAGACTGACCAGTTGAATTTTTGTGACGCCCTGCAGACAGAGCACAATAATCTTATCAAAACCAGCTGTTCTGCTTCTGCTCACTCCAGTCTGTGGCTCACACACACAAATACACATCATCGTAGCAAGAGTCCCTTTCTTCTCTTGAACATTTAGGATTGCATTGCCATCTTCCGATTAGCACATGGATAAACAGAGCATCTCACTGCCTACTTCCGGGTTCCCTGCGGGTGTTTTATGTTTGTTAAACAGCCAAATATTGAGCAATAACTTAATGTGGCTATCACTGCGGCGAATATTCACCAGTGCTGTAGTTCAGACGGCTGGGCGCTCATGCGAAGAAGAGACGTACAGTTGACATAACAATTCACTGTTTGAATTCACAGTAATTAATTAAAGCGCATGCGCGATGCCCAGCCTCTGATTGGTTGGTGTCTCCTTCTGGGCGGGGCTTCTGTTGTCTGTGGTCGGTTGCAGATTTGAATTACAGAACAATAACAGGCTGTTAGTTAACTTTAACAGGCAACACATTAAGATACTTGCTGTGAAAATTAGCAACATTTACACCAAACAATGGTCTGCGAGAGAAACTGAGAAACACTACAGCAGGTAAGGACACAGAAAAGCAAGCCTACTGCAAATTCATTGAATGCATTACGTTAGACAATGCTAAAACAACCATTTACGTTGTTGTTGACACCAGAGACACAATTTGTCCGATTATTACCCTCCCAAAAATGCATTGTACGTGTACTGCAGGCTGTCATTGGTTTTCTCAATTTCATGAATTAGCTATGCAAGGAATACTATATCGTTATTTGGCTGCAAACCACTGAGGACTCTGTGACCCAAATACCCGAAACAATGTCCAAAAATATATTTAAACGGAAGTCAGTGAGCAATACATTGAGTGTTTGATTCGGCAGAGACGTGATCTCTCTGTCTGCAGTAGTGTTTTAATAATTCAGTGATATGCCCCTTATACAGTCTATTATACCTTGTTGCATGCAAGCAAGATGATATCAGGCAGTTAAAAGTGTTGAATGCAATATAGAGCAATGGCTCAACATGGACCCTCTTCAGTCTAAGTTGCAGAGCAGGCATTTTTGCACTGACAAAATGTTCCATAAAAGAAACCCCTCCCCCATATGAGCCAAAACAGATGGACACCAACAATGAAATTCTGGGGAGTGGGCATCATTATTCAAACCACTTTATTACAAGACATTTCATTGGACATCCTGGTCATCTGACTCAGATTTCTTGAATTTTGAAATAATAATGAAGCAAGGGTTTCTTGGCATCACTCCCAAACAGTCAAAATAGGATTAGCATCACTGAAGGAAGCATTGAAGATGTGTGATATGATTTGATGAGCCCTTTTCTTTTCTTTTCAAGCAGATATAGACTCTTGCAGCGCCTGAGCAAGGAATCAACAGTATAGAGAAACACCTCAAGGGAAGACTAAGAAAAAGTTAGAATACATAGCAATGTTCAAAACCATCACCCGTCTGTTTTTTGGGGGTGAGGAGGAGACCCCTGAAGATGTGAAGTCTGGAGAAGTGGTGGAAGAAGGATGGCTTGTTGTGAATCATCAAGGTCAGTCATTTTTAGAATTTAACTATCTGCAATGTCCCAATATATAAAGAAATATGGAGTGTAAGTAGGGAACAATCATTTTGGTGGAAGTGTTATCTTAAATCATAACCCGGCATTTATTCTAAATAATTCCCAAAAGTCATGTTTATGTGGACTCAAATTGGAGGCTGCCTTTAATCCAATGAAGGCAAACCACAAACTCAAATAATGAAATCATATTACCAAACGCTGACTATGGATAAGTACCTCATACTAACCTACTTTAAAATAAAAAAAATCCATTTTAACACCACTATAGACTATAGTATTGTTTTCTCCACAGAAAGACCATCAACTTCCTTTATACTGAATTATTTCTAAATGATATGACGTAAATCCTTTCTGTCTCCACAGAGCCAAGTTCATCAGCGAACCAGGTCACAGAGCCGGCTGACACACAGCCATCAAACTCTGCTCTCCATGAAGACATAGCTGTGAACATGGAAAGTGACATTAGGTGAGGAATCCTTTCAAAAAATCACATTATATTTGAAGGGGAAAAAACGTAAGTGTTTACCAATAATAAACAGGGACCATTTCAAACCCCCAAATATATTACATTTATTTTTAACCTCAGGTTGATGAACAATGTCTCAGGACTCACATACTTCCTTGTGTTTCTCTCCAGTGTGTTAGATCCAGAGCTTGCAGTTCAGAGCAGCAGCAGCAGTCTAGCCGTCACAGCCCCTCTTCCTCACCCTAAAGATTTGCTTGAAGTGACACAACTACCCTGCAACAAGAAGACCTGGGTCGACCCACACCACATGTCCCGTAATGCCATTCAACGGCAGAACCGTGTTCGCACAGGAGTCCAACATCACGCCTTTCACCTCCAACAGCCGGCACATCGCAACCTCAGCCACTGAAGCTCTGTTTTTAAATAAACGTACAACATGTATCACGCTAAATACACATAATCAGAATTCCTTTATTCAAAGGGGAAATGTACACACATCTACACTCAATTGTGTCTTGTCATATGTAATCTATACATCTCATCTTGATGTAACCAATCACTACAACAGGCAGCTGCATTATACTTCGTACTGTATGTGAATTGATATGAAGATGTCCACCTGATGAAATGAAATACACCATGTTTTCTTGTATTTGCAAATGTGGATGAGTGCATGTCCTTTCTAAGATTTTGGACAAAGTGTTGTAATTTGTGTATTGATTAGCTTTTATTTACCTGTATGTAAAAACACCAAACCTTTTTTATCTGCTTCCAAATAAAAATGAGAAATATGCAGCTCATGCTTTGTTTATGAGCTCACAGTTTGACATGTCTGAATGCTGACACCTCATTGGTTGGGAGATGATTGCACCTGCTGTGTTTGATTACAAGCTCACCTGAGGGAAGGTTTCAACTTAAGGGCTTTTTACAATCAGGAGGGTTAGTGCCTGTGAAGAGCTCTTAAATATATATGAGGATGGAGTTATCCCCTGTAACAAAACTTAACAAGCAGTTAAAATCTGGTTACAAAAGTTTTGCTGATCCTTCTGAATTGGCTGATCGCTCAAGGGACTTCACCTGTGCCTTGAACGGAAGCTGTGGTAAGTGGATACAAATATATGTAAGCCTTTCATAATTGCTCATTTGCAACACTGTAAATCACCTTATTAGATGTCAATGGGGGGAAACAGGCAGGATTTATATCACTCATAATAACTTGACTTGTTTTGTAAAGCAAAATATTCTTTACTGTGGTAAATGTTAACCTTTTCCTTGCTGCTGCCACAGACCTCAACCATCACCCAAAGGACGTCCCTCTGAAACAGCTGGTATCTGGAACCCCATACGTGTTTGACCAAAGAGTGTCCAGCCCCGAAGAGACAGACAAGGACCGCACCGATCAGGTCACACTCCTACATCTCTATGCTGTTTCTATCACCTTCGCCATCGGAGTGACCATTGCCTTGATCCTGCATACATACCTGGGTGAAAGATTGGTAGGTCAAGCACATGGTTACTTAGAAAATGTATTCTGTTACAATTACTAGTTACCTGTGGATAAATGTAATCACTAACCTCATCTGAGTATCATAATGTAAAACTAATTTAATCTGATTATGTTCTTTTGTTCTGCCTCAATCAATCAAACTATGATAGTAAGGATAACAAATGTGTCTTCTGCTCGGCATATTCCGTCAGTAGCCTATACTCCAACAATGAAACACATGGGCACATACTACCAGCAGAAATCAAATCTGAGCTGACAGAAAGTGCTCAGTTATCATTTAATACATAAACTCACACACAATCTTATTGACATAGGTTCAACTACTGAATTAAAAAAAGAACAAATGACCCAAAGAAAACCACAAAGCAGATTTAGGCAGCAGACGTGGTCCGGCAGGGGCTTGGACTGTGAGCCGTAGGGGCGCCGGTTCAACTCCCTGACCAGATCTAAATGTGGAGTGTGTACTGCTACTTGGAGAGATCACCTCCTTGGCCCTGCTGTGGTGCCCTTGAGCACGGCACCGGACACCCACTCCCATTGCTCCCTGGGCGCTGTGCAATAGCTGCCACTGCTCCTAGTACTAGGGTGGGTTACAAGCAGAGGCCACATTTCACTGTGTGTGCTGTGTGCTCTGCATGTGTGACCATTCAAGAGGGTTTCATCCCTCCCATTCTATTCTATAGATTCACAATTCAAGTATTGGCCAACAGAACAGTTTACAGAGAAGAAATAAGATCTGATCCTTTTACAACACAAGTCACACTGTAATCCTGCTTTTAATCCCCAATTTTTAGTATTGTAACAGTAATCGGATTACATATTTTCTATGGTATTTCGATTGTTTAATCCCATTACATGCAATCTGTTACTTCCCAAGCCTGGTCTAGCGATATAAACAGAAACAGGTTTATTGGCAAGTAGGTTAACACATAGGGATTATCTTTGGTGTATATGGTGCACACACAAACACAGTTAAAGAAGATACATTAAAAATATATATATATATATATATATAAAAGCAATTGTAAAAAGAACTATTGATAAAGACAACTATTTACATGAATAAATATGCCCAAACACTACGTACAGTATACTATGACAACATTATCAGAATAATCAAATCAAATATGTGCACTAACAATTGTAACCACAAGTTATTTGTTCTCATTATTCCCCAGGTGTTAGTAAAAGGTGCTGTGGTGTCGGATCATGAGCTCTGCTCTGCCTTCGGACACAGAGTCCTCCGTGATGGGGGGTCCAGTGTCGATGCTGCCATCACTGCCGCCCTGTGTCTGGGTGTTGTGCATCCACATGTGTCAGGGGTTGGTGGGTATGTGATTCACCTGTTGTTTGTATGCATAGTTTAAAATGTACATCGATGTATTCGATCACAAAATCATCCTTGTTCTGTAGAGGTGGTGTGATGCTGGTTCATGACATCCGGAAGAATAAAACCAGGTTGATTGATTTCCAGGGATCTGCACCTAAAACCCTGAAAGAGGAGATGCTGCAAAATGTTTCAGAAGTAAAGGTGATTTTGCGAGTATATACAAAAGTCCCTGAAAGGAAAGTAAGAGTCAGAAAAAATAAAGGTGGACATTTAAAAAAAATCTGATCTTCTGTAAACTGTTTTATCTTCTGGGTTAACGACATAAGAACGGATGACGACAAAGGTTTTGCCAGGATAATATTTTAATGTCCCTTTTTGTTTATCTGTAAATAAGTTTAGTGTGTTGTTGTAATTCTCATTTGGACCAGAAGAGGTCAAAGTTCACCACAACCCCATGTTCAAAATAGGACTGAAAACCTTAAGGTGAGTTTGCATGTATCCATGCACTCTTAACAGTAGTTACATATATTGTGTATCAGCAAATTATGTAACACTTTTGTCATGTATTTTAATTGGGGGCAGACCTTCAAACATTCTATGCACAAGTAAAATGTGCGCAAATAAAATCATGTTTAAGATATAATATTGTGCTAACATTTGATGACATTAATTTCACATTTTATACGGTTTTCGACAACACGTACAATTTACAACAAACACTTTCTTTCTTTGGAAAAAAAACAAGGCAAACCTTATTTTCAACTGAGTCTAAAGTCCTAAACACTGGAAATAAAATACTTTATATCAGTCTTGTAAAAAATGGGTTATTAGACAATCTGTAATAATCTACTCCATCCATGCAGGCCGGTCTGCAGGTGGGGGTGCCAGGAATGCTCAGAGGGTTACACCGCGCTCACAGCTTGTACGGGAGGTAAGAGTTCACTCTGACGTTTAGTCCATTTATTTATATCCTTAAGTCAAATGTCTCACCACAAAATCTGTGCAGTCTGCCATGGGAGGATGTGGTCGCCAGAGCTGCTGCTGTGGCCAAAGAAGGTTTCAATGTGTCTTTCAGTCTTGGTGAGTAAAATCAAAATAAAACTTTACCACATTATAAGATGATGATGTCGCCTCAGGATGTGACTCATTTGTGTTATTCTACAGCTGAGGCTATATCAAAGGTAAAAGGTCAGAGGGTGTCACAACGTTTCAGGGACTTGTTCTTCCCCGATGGCCAAGCTCTGCGTCCTGGTTCATCTCTGATGATGTCCAGTCTGGCTGGAGTCCTAGAGGCTGGTCTGTCTAACTTCTATGATGGAAACGTCTCAAAAGAGATGGAGGATGAGGTGAATGGTGTGAAATGTGTCAAAATTATAGTTTGTCATTTGCTTTTCATTTAAGTTGTAAGAGGACATATTCTGCTCATTCTCAAGTTCTTATTAGTATCCTGTGTCTCTAGTCTACTGTAATATATCTCCATGCTTTAATGTTCAAAAAGGTCTTTATTTGTCTCATACTGCCTCTTTTCACCCTCTGTCTGAAACCAGAGCCCAGTCTGCTCTGATTGGTTAGCTGGCCAGCTCTGTTGTGATTGGTCAACTGCTTAGAGACTTTCCAATCTTAGTCTATCATTACAATTATGTTGGAGCGCTACCCAATAGAAGCATGAGTTTTATATAGGGACATCATCATGATGATACAAAGGAGTCCAATGGAGGTGTTTTAGTCAGGGGGGAGGGGGGCGATGTTGGAGAGAAACTTTGGGATTTTAGCCTTTCGAGACCATTTACATGCACACAAACCTATATAATACACTACAGGAAAGGGAATCCCCCAAAAAGCATGATTGGGTCTCTTTAACAGTTAAAATGATACTGTTTTAACATATTTTGTTATGTTCTGATTCAAAGGTGCGAGCTAATGGAGGGGTCCTGAGCAGAGAGGACATCAGTGCTTACAGCGTACAAGTGGAGCAGCCACTGGAAGGCCTGTACAATGGTAATATTCATCAATAATATCCATATATATTTATTTTTTCATTTTGATACCCTTTTCTATGTTGTGTTACTCTTGTCTTAGAATTCATTATTCAAGTTCCTCCTCAACCTGCTGGTGCAGCGTTGATATCAGCACTCAACATTTTGGAGGGCCTCCACCTCAACGAGAACAATAACACTGAAAATCAAACGCACCACTGGGTTGCTGAGGTACTGCATTGCCAAGCTTAAATATCACAATGTTGTTGTTTGTTTAACATACCAGCCGTTTTGATGGTAAATCTCCGTCATAAGAATGATTTATGTCTCCCTTTTTTAAGGCTCTGAAAGAAGCTTTGGCCAGTGGTTTGGGTGACCCTAAATATAACTCTTCAGTGACTCAGCTGCTGTCTGACATGCTGAGGTAAACTACATTAGGGACGAACAACTGTGACAATTAATTCAATAATAATCAATAACAATATTTTCTTCATAATTTGATGGTTTATTTCGTCTATGAAACGTATGCATTTCACGATAAACCTTGGGCTCATGCCAAATGTATTGTTTTGTTTTATTTAAAAACAAATGAAGCAGGGCAAGTTAATTTAAATGGCACATTTCAACACATGACAAAGAAAAACATAAAATCCTCAAGTTCCAAGAGTAAAAGTTAGAGCAAAATGTGTTTTCTGTCGTCATGAATCCTTATATTTTCATATTTAACTGTTACTTATCTTCTGCCTTAATTGATAGCCACTGTTCTGCAAAAACAAATCAGTTCAAAAGCAGCTAACATCTTTTTAATTCCTCTCTGCTCTTGCAAAAGTAAGAATCAAGCAGAGGTGCTTCGCCAAAGGATCAATTCATCCCATACCTCTGCACCCGACTCCATCCCCTCCCTGCAGACAGAGCGGATGACTGGACAAGTTGCAGTCATGGGACCCGACGACCTGATGGTGACGGTCACAAGGTGATTGTTGCGACCTGCAGGAGGATAGGTGTGGTATGTGCTGCTGGGCACGAGGACATTCTCTCATCTTATCTCTTGTCTTTGTGATCTTACAGTTCTTTGAACACGCCATTCGGGAGCAGAATCGTCACAGCGTCAGGCGTTATTCTCAACAGCCTCATGTTCAACTCCTCCTGGACATATGAAGCCCGAGGGCAACTCTCAAAGAACCAGGTGCATTGCTTTCTTTAGAAAAATCTCAGCTAAAGAAAATCAGACATCTCCAAAGTTGTTTTTATGAAAGAGGCCCTATTATGCATTTCTGGGTTTTCCCCTTCCTGTATGTGCTAGGTTTTTGGGCAGGTAAATGGTCTGTTAAGGCTAAAATCCCCCAGTTTCGTCCAGAGGGAGTTTCCCTTCCACACACTCATTAGACTCCTTTGTTTTCCTCTAACTTGTTGACATCACTATGTAACACTCGCACTTCTATTGGCTAGCGCTCCATCACATTGTACATAACATGATAGACTAAGGGGCGGGACATCCATAAGAGGTTGACCAAGAGGTGCTGCAGCATAGGCAGTATGAGAAAAATAAACACCTATTTGAATATTCAAACATGTAAACAGGTCACAGACGAGTCTGAAAATGCAAATATGAACCTGAAAATGTGCAGAATAGTGTCCCTTAAACTATTGCTCACTGTTTGTGCTTTTTTTTGCTTTAGAAAACCAAAGTCCAGCCAGGAAAGAGGATCCTATCCTCTCTCATGCCGGTGATAGTGATGCCTGCGGGGCATAAATGTGGCGTCTACATGGCACTAAGCAGCTCGGGGGGGCAACAGAGTTTGAGTGTGATCACCCAGGTTTGACCAATTAACATGTTTTTGTTTATATCTTTTTATTTAGCTTTGTGTAATTAATATACTGGAAAAAATATAAAAGATGGATTATTGTATAGATCGAACAGATGTGCAAACTGTAATATAAATGCTGTGTGACTTCAAATATAGAAAAGATTATGGTCTGATTCACTGGAAGTAGGTTTTAATACAAAAACATTGGCAACGTACACTCTTTGTGTTTTAGGTGTTGATCAGTGCACTGTCCTCACATAAAGAGAGAAATGACAGCCTCTCCCTGACAAATAAGCCTCTTGTTGACTGTAAGTTTTCTCTATTGCTATTATTTTTTTATATATATTTTTTGTAATAGTAATGTCCTTTTCTAAATCTCCATTATCAGCGGAGTTTCCTGAGGAGGGTGAGCAGTTGTTGGATGAAGAAGGCCATGCACTTCAGAGAGTGAAGACAAACTCTGTTCAGGGGATCCTGAGGAAAAAAGATATAATTAGACCCATAAATGTACCTCAATTATCTGAAGGATTCTTATAGTTTTGTTGTTGTGAACTTCATTTTTCAATAAATGTCTTCAAAGAGTTCAATTATTTAGAAATGTTGGCATTATAAGGTTGACTGTTGTTGTTTCCAGTGATATTGTGATCACAAGTCAACAAGAGGGCAGTACTTTATATTAGAGAAGGGAACATGGTCTGTTAATTGTCTTGAAATTGAATAATCCCATCATACTCAAGCTCCACATTGAAGGTCAATTCTGTAATGGATTAAAAAAACAAGACAAAAGTAACTATGCATAATGTCTTTTGAAGAAAAACAACGGTAATGAAAAGCTGACGAGCAGTGAAGATACTGTCAGACATACCCACGTCACAAATATATATGTATCTTATTCAACTTTGCATTCTAGCTTACTTCAAAACAATGCTGCAATAACTCAGGCTACACAGATTAGAATTTGGTAGTTTTCAACACAGAGCAGGATATCATGATTATTTTTAAGGCCACTTTATCATGCTATAACAGAACCATATTCTTTTTGTATAAAGAAACTACTTGTAAACAAAAAAATAACTTTATTATTTCAATTTTTACATTTTTCAATAATAAACTACAAGATCACTAAAACGAATTATTCAAATATTTATATTCTATACCTGCCAAATGAAAAAAAGTCTTCTTGTACTATAACACCCATTCAAAAATAATTGTCGTCATACGCTCATCCTTCTGTCTGTCTAGCTGCTAGGAGCACCTGTTGTGACCAGATGAAAATAGGCAGACTGCACAATCTGCATGAAAACAGAGTTTAGTCAGGAACCCTTATGCAAGTATGTGAAGATTTAGATCACACAAATAAATACTCATACAAGGGAACACCTTGCTTTGTGTTCATGAGTTTTAATGTTGTTTATAATTGTGTTACCTGTTCACTCTCTGTGTCCAGGGCAGATGTAGCTTAATCTAGCAGGATCTTTGGGTTTCTGACGATGGCCCTGGCGATGCGTTGTTTTTGTCCTCTTGACAGCTGGGAGCCCTGGGTACCAACCTGAGTCTCGTATTTCTTAAGATTTGTATATGTGCTGAGAAAAGTGGGGAGAGCAAAAGGTCACAAAGTAAACATTCTGGTCAAAATGTACAACTAAAATAAAAATGGTTTCTATTGTTACAATTTTGCGTAAACTTGGCTTTCTAGTAGGGTGACAAATCCGACAGTCACATACATTCAAGTCCTGCATACATGCTTCAGATTAGGGCGACAGTTGAGATTTAAAATGGATATATTGTGCTCATTGTGATCCCTAATTTCATAATTGAAGATGTTTACATGATTCAACGTTATAAAACATTTTTAGCCTATTCATTATTTCATACTGTCTGACTGAGTATACTCTGTCCTAAATGCTCCATGTTAGCACCCATCTTACATTACCAGACTTTGACAATTTACTTGTGTTAGCGTCATCACAAAGTCATGAAGATAGGCTTTCTAAGCCTCAACAATCTCTTCCATGCTGACACTGCATGTGTTATTTCCGTATTGAATATGCTGCAGCCAAACAATACTGGCTCCTGGGACACTATGCCAATCTGGGATCTTGGGAAGGGCACATTGACATTTTGAGATGGGCGGCCATCAATCAGCTGAAAATGAAATATGACATAATTAGGACTTTGGTTTGGATAAACTCATTTTGTGATTAGTAAAATAAATGTCTGAAATGGTTAACATACCACACGCCCTTGATCAGGGTCATAACACCTTTCCAACAGTTGAACACTGGTGCTTTTTCCACAGCTGCTGCTTCCAACAAACGCCAGGCTTCACAGACACAACCAGGCCGTTCAACACTTGAAGGTGAAGTTACAATTAAGGAACTGTATTTCACCTTTGAAGTTATCCTAAATATGAACAAATGGGATTAATCATCTCAAGGTAACATCACCACAACATGGCATCCCATTCTGATGTCTTAATTATTGAATTCACCAACCCATTTCTCTCCAACTGCATGGCTTGTGCTGATTTTGGGAATTCTGTCCAATAGTTTGAAAAACTGAGCAGCAGCTATTTTGGCCTTGGCGTAATCTGGAATGAAGGAGGAAGCTTTGCCCATTGCTGCCCCACTCATTACTACAGCCAGAATCACCCGGGTAATCACAAAACACCAAATACAGTACATTTAAACAAGGAATAAAAAAAATACAGATTTCTCATTAAAATAAATTATTTGTACCAACCTGAAGACATGTGTATAGTAATCCCTCAGAGCTAACCAGGTAGCCTCCATATCTAAAGGAAGCAGCGTATGCCATGAAGAGGACACACTGGGAAAAAACAAAGCTCATGGATGTTGGCTTTCTTTATGGCAGATATAAATGGAAGCTCCAGTTTCTGCTCATACGATTCCACAAAAAAGGTCTCTTTGTTTAAGCCTTCAATCGTCCTGATGTTGGAAAGAGCCTCACTGGATACCTGTGGGACAAAGTTATGATCTTTAACTGTGGCCATTGGTTTCTCAGGGCAGTGCATAGATCATTTGGGCTCGATGGCGAGCTTACTTGGCCTGCTTCTTCCATGGATTCTTTATCTTCATTTGCTAAACCTGTCAGCTTGGAAAGCTCCAGACAATCCGAGTAGTGGCAGGAAGCACATAATAACCAAAGTTAACTTCCAAATATAGATAAAAGCGATAGTACAATAGTAATTACATTTAAGTAGTAACTAATTACATTTGGATTAACTGTTTATTTTACGAGAATGCAATCATAAACTAACTATTAGTTATTATCCGAACAGAGCAACATTCAATATAAAGCAATTTACCTCTGATATGATCTCCTGCACTGGGAGACTCCAAAGATGTCCATCTTTTGGGGGCAGATTCTAAAAGGGAGAGATCATCTGGCCTCAGAGTCTGCAGCACAGTCTTCCTCCTCAGAAATCTGAACAAGAGTTAAGGAGAAAAAAGATCCAAAACATAATGCAAACCAAATTCAAACATGAACAGTAACATAAAGGATACTGTTGCCGAAAGTGACGTTCAGCATCGTGCAGCCACCCCATCATGTCGGACACTGAATTTAAGCTTTCTCCTTCGGGCCAGAGGTTAGTTGTCCCAAAGTGTAGAACAAAGCCGTATAAAACAGCTTTATTCCGGCAGCCATCGCACAAAAGAATAAGTCGTATAGCAGTGTCACACAGATGCCTATTTATTAATTTATTAACTTCTAATGCCAATGTTTTTACTACTGATCTTAGTTATTAGATGTGACAGAACAGGGTGTATTTTTACTAGAGATGTGTCTGTTTTCTGTGTTGTTTTTAGAATATGTGTCAGGATGGACCTGTTGTCTTTATATCTGCAACCTAAATCTACCAACTAAAAACCAATAGATAACCTGAACCTGATACCAATAACTATGAGTGACATCCCTCAGAATAGGTAAGCATCACATAAAATGAGTGGCATGCCATCAGCTACGTTTCAGCATCTCTGACTTGGAGGTCCTTGCTGACTACGGTCTTACAGTCTTTATTTGTGTTGCACAATTTACCCAGTCACTTACATATTCTCGTTGAGTTTTTCCAGCTCTGTATCCGTGGATAGTTGGAGCTTGAAACTAGTGATGGGAATTCCGGCTCTTCTTGGTGAGCCGGATCATTTGGCTCGGCTCCCAAACGGCTCTTCAGTTTACCACATATTATAACTTTTATAATTAAATCAAATGTAGCCCTGTTTTGACTAATGATTTATATGTGTACACATATATCACTTAAATTATTCAATACATCATTTGCACTGAAGTATTCAAAAGTAAAAATGACATGTTTAATATCAATGATTTGCTGTGGCCAAATGTTTTCATTGCATTTACAGACCCTTGTAACTCTCTGATACCACCCAAAGAATGCACTGACTTGCTTGTAAAACCATGCTACACAAAGCAGGTAGCAACACCTATACAAACTTAAGCATAGACATTTAAAAAAAAAAAAGGGCTACTGTATCGACATTTTCTAATTATATTTAAAGAAAAGGCGCTGACAAAACAGCAGGGCTCTATTTCAGTAACTATTAACTGTAGAAAAAAAGACAGCAACAGCTGACATCAAATCTTTGCTGAGCCTAAGGATAATCATAAATAAATAACATAGTGAAAATAAATATATTGCAATGCTCGGTACAGCAGCATCCAACCGTCTCTAATCATAAAAAAAGTAAAAACATTTATACAAATAAATGTATTACGATGCTCAAAACAGCAGCATCCAACAGTCTCTAATCCATGCATGCAAGGAGCAGGTGTAGCGCGGAGATCATCATATAACCCTTAAAAATTAAGGCAATATTAGCTGCTAGGTCACATCACATTTCCACCCATGTTTCGACCATGCCTGTATCAATTTCCGTCCTTCAGTAGGGCCTGGCTCATTTCGTGGCATCTGCAGGCAGTGGCAAGTCCTTCCGGCATATGCCACAGAGGCCACTACTCTGTGGTAGCTGTGGCAAGTACTTCCGGCATATGCCACAGAGGCCGCTACTCTGTGGTAGCTGTGGCAAGTACTTCCGGCATATGCCACAGAGGCCGCTACTCTGTGGTAGCTGTGGCAAGTACTTCCGGCATATGCCACAACTTGCCGAGGCATCTGCCGCTGCTCAACGGGAGTTGCCAGAGTAAGAGAAGGTTTACGGTAGCTGCCACTCGCCTTCCGTGGCAAATGCTGCTATTTAAACCCGTATTTATCGTGTAAAATGTCGCTGTTTTGGCATGACTTTATCGAACTGATCTGTACACAGGACTGATTATCTGTGCACAGGGTTGGGTTGTAACTGAATACATGTAACGGCGTTACGTAATCAGAATACAAAAACCAAGTAGCCTAACTGTATTCAGCTCGCGTTACATTTGAAAAACAACTAATCCGAATACAGTTACTTTCGTAAATCTGAAGTGAATACAATTTGGAATACTTATTGGAATTATTGGGGGAAAAGTTTCCTCACAAAATGTATCCTAATATTCATTACCGGCAGAACTGTGTGCACAGCGCAGCAGCATGTCTGTGAGGCCCCGCC